CCCTCCGAGACCGTCAAATCACGGGTCCGGGTCCGTTTACCAAAAATATTGACCAAAGTCAACTTTAATCATTTTAATGCCACATTTTGAAAATTTTCACAGAGTTTAACATATAAGCTTTCCGGCTACGCGTCCGGACTGCGCAGGCAAATCGAGGCAAGCAGATATGAGGTTTCAAGGCCTCGGAAGCACGAAAAAAGAGAGAAATCTGGTGATGACCCCTTTGGGTCGTCACACTTCTTGATTATTAATTGGTATTGAATTAAATCACATATCTTTAAACAACAAATCAAATTAAACTGTTACTCGTATTTTCGAGGTAACATATATATATTTTAAAATTTTCCCATAAATAATGATAGCATTTTCAAAAGTCTTGGGAAATAATTTGAAAAATGAGTAATTAATGATAAGGGTAAAACAGGAAAAAAAAAGAGATTGTCTTTATCTTGATTTAGTATAGTGGACAAGTAAAAATAAAAATGTATATTTAGTATAGTGAATAAGTAAAAATGAACGGAGGGAGTATATATAATGTATTATTACTTGTCTAACAGAGTTTACCACTCCCTAGCTAGTTTCCAGAAACTCTCCTCAATTATCTATATATAAATATAAAGTTGGGCATAGAAAAAGTGTGTGGCACCTCTCTATGGCCAGCAATTGCATTTTTCTTTTTTCTCCTTTTTTTGAATTTTTCCTCCATTAATCCTCTACTTCACTCTATTTAATTTGTTATTTTTCACCTTCTCCTTAAAGTCTTCCTTATAGTAACTGTTGAGAAATCATTGAAAGAGGTAACTAAGAGTTTGTAAAACGGATTCATTATATTTAAAAGGGCATTAAGTATACAAAATGACTTAACAGCTTCTTAGAGGTTGAAACTACACTATAAAACTCGATCTTCCAGTTATTCCTACGCATAAACAAGAACATGGGTTTCCAGATAGGGGAGAGAAAGGCCAGCGACAATGAAAATCCCGACAAGGAAGATAGGGAAATGGAAGCAGGGTTTGGATACTTCTGAGTTGGGAAAGAACAAAGTTGACGTGTTAGGTGTCTTCTCTCCTTTCTATCTTTTTCTTCTTTTATTTCTTTTGTTTTCTTCAAACAAATAAAAAAATGAAAATGTTCATGTAGAAAAAATTTCACCTGAATTTGGTGGATTTTCACGGCATCGTATTTTTGTTTGGCTAATTTTCATGTCTATTGTTATCTATTATTTCAACTATCATCACCCTATTGAATATAATTTCTTTTCTTACTTTTTCGCATGACAACGTTACCTTTTCAAGTGAAGAAGGAAAATGAAGAAGCATATAAAAATCGATTTTCTTTCTTCAATACACAATGTTTCACACAAAGTTATATATCAAAATACATGTATAAAAGGAAGTAACCTAATATATATGTACATTACACAAAATGAGCTCTGCATCTTATTTTCGTTTTCTTAAACTTTATCCTACAAATTTGAAGATAGTTTCAAAATATAATTCTTGGCATATAAATACAGTTGTTTTCACTTTGTTAGGGGTGCATTGACTTATCTGCAAAGTGTAAGTGTAAATTTTTTAGTCTTCATTTGTATGTTCGTCTCTTTTCTCATTATCATCCATTCAATATTGAAAAATACCTCATTCTTATATTTCTTTCCTCCAATTATTTTCTCATTATTATAATTGTGTATGTCCTTGAGGTTGTTGTACTTGGTGATATGAATGACCAATTGGCCCTTCAAATTTGTTATGGTAGTTATGTCGCTGTTCTTATGGTCATAACTTTACAAATTGTATCTCTCTTAGTTACCCAAAAAAAGAAAGAATTGTATCTCGTATATCTTTTACACTGTTTATTTGATATTGATCAGTTTAGGTTAAAGAAAAAAAGAAAGTATTCTTCCTCCCTTCGTTTATTAGGTAAATATATGAATGAGTATATATAAGGGAGGGGTAGAATTACATGTAAGGAAATTAACGAGAAGAAAACGATAAGAAAAAGAAGGGTACATTTTCAAAAAAAAATAACAAAAAGGGAAAAAGGGATTTCAAAAATGTAAAAAGTAATGAGAAAGATCAAGTGAAAAACTCTTTTTTGCGTTTCCTTTATAAAATTTCTAAGATCGTGAAAATAATTTTTAAAAATACATACTGAATCTACGGAAATAATTGTGAGAGAGTCAAAATCACGTGTAAATAACCGTTCCATTTTAGCTAAAATTCTGTAAAATTTGTTGCAAAGAAGTAGATTAAAAATATTAGATATAAATGATTTTCGTTAAAAAAAAGTGACTAAATCGATAGCATTATTTTTACTATTCACTTATTAAAAAACACCTTATATTGTTAATATAACCGCGCGAAGCGCGGAAAAATTTACTAGTATGATTATATATGCTGTCTCTTCATATGCATATAAACATCAACCAGTTACAATTCTTTCCATTGTGTTCCTGAGAGTTTTCTTCATTAGCAAATTAAATGTCTTAATTGGTTGAGGGAATAAATTGTTGTATGTTCATATAGTCTTGAGTTATCCTCATCTTATGAGCTAATTTGTGGAACTGAGTTAGACCCAATGTGCACTAATAGAAGAAGAGAGCATGTAATAGAAGAAAAAACTAAAAGTATCTTGTCATCTATTTACAATCCGACAAAGGCGAATTACAGTACTGAGTTCATCTTAATCTAGTACTTTCACAGGAACATAAATATAATTATGTGTTAAAATTCAGTAAAATTGCAATAAATAGTAGATATGAGCACTTTAAAAAAATATAATGTGTTTAATGTTAAGAACCTTAAAGGTTATTGAACTCATAAAATTTAAATCATAGATCCGTCTCAGTAGTCCAACTAGGAGTTCTATGTACAACTACATTTCATTATTTTTCACTCATCATTGACTACACTTATAATCTACATTTCCACCATTCGAGTCTTCTATATATTTATCTACACATAGAGCTCAAAATCTAGACTTTCCTAGTTAGCTTATTAAAGAGTACTTACCCAATTTGCTAATCCTACCAAAAGAATGAACAAAAATGTGTCATATAAGATAACTGTTAAGCCCACAATTAATTAGCACATTATAAGGACATGGAGAATAATACTAAATGTCTTAAAATTATGGAGGATATGTTTAACCAAATCTAATTCACTATTGTTTCTTTTCCAAGGTATGGGCAAAATCCGCGTACACATTGCTCTCCCTAGATTCTACACTAGGGCAGCCCGGTGCATTAAACTCCCGCTATGCGCAGGTTCCGGGAAAGGGCCGGACCACAAGGGTCTATTGTACGCAGCCTTACCCTGCATTTCTACAAGAAGTTGTTTCCACAACTCGAACCCGTGACCTCCTGATCGCATGGCGACAACTTTACCAATTACGCCAAGGCTCCCCTTCTCCTAGACCCTACACTATTGGGAATATATTGGGTATATTTGTTGTTGTATGTTCAACCAAATCAGAATTACCTTCATGCACATAAAAAAGTGAAAATCGGCATATAAAAAGTTGAAGTAATAACTACGATATGTACTGATGGAAAATATCGTATAACAAATCTGGAAAGATGATATTTAAGAACAAAAGAGCCCTTTAATTCAGATCATCAGAGAGTAACATGCATTAGGTCAGAAAATTTGCAAGTAAAGGAAAAACTGAACTCCAAGTTTCAGTTTCCTACAGTTACTAACACAAATAGACAGGTAAACAAAAACAGAAAAAATCTTGATGAATCTACTTTGTACACTCTTAAATGTTACTTATTGGTATATTATTGGCACATTAATTAACCAAAGCATTTAATTATCAAACCTAACTAATCAATAGCATCTTTTACTTGCAGGCCATATCTCTGTTCAACTTCTATAGGCTGATCCCGTGTGACCTATAGGTCACGAGTTTGAGCCGTGAAAGCAACCACTAATGCTTGCAAATAGGGTAGACTGTCTACGTCACACTCCTAGGGGTGCAGCCTTTCTCCAAACCATGCGTGACTGCTAGATACTTTCTTCATCAGACTGCCCTTTTTTGTAACTTCTATAGGCTGATGAGTGTAAATTATTTTTAAAGATAATTATGTTAATATCGATAATAAACGAAAATAGATACTTGAAAAATAAAATAAATAACCTCCTATAACATACTTAAATAGTACTGGTAATGTAAAAATTTCTTATTCTGAGCTATTTCAAAGAAACAATGGACATAACTTTTAAACAAAAAAGGTATTTAAATATGCTGTGGCCTGTGTGTGCATGTGGGGAGAGAGGAAATTGCTATCCAAAATTTCAAACATGAATATTCATGCGTTTGAGACAGACATACTGAAATTAAGGAGGAAAAAGATGTTTGTCATTGTAGATTGTCCTAAGAAAGAAGCAATCAGGCAACATATATATTTGGTATAGTCAATCCATGATTTCAACCTTGGGTTGGGGTGGG